CATCAAAGTCGAAAGTTCAATTGGCAAATCTGACCCATCTTCATGCTGAAATAATATTAAATATTAATCATCTTTTTATAGTAAAATAATATTAATTTATGTATAGTATATGATTATTCAAACCTTTATCATATATTGAACAACTTCTTCACATGTTTTTCCAATCAGTTCATTTGCTACTTTGTCCCAGCAAAGAACTTGCATAATTCCCGTGTCGTCAACAATGAACATGTGCAATTTGTACCTTAAATTTTGAAAATTAATTAAATTTTCAAAAAAGAAAATATATAGTATAATAATATGTAATAATATGCTTAAATATTTAATGTATACCGAGCGTTTGCAAATGGTACTTCATCTAAGCAATGGTTGCACCAAAACTTCGTCCCATGCGGTTCGACCTTCCTAACGCAGGTTGGGCATGCGTTAAAATACCACCTCAGATCAATGTCGAGGATCGTCCCATAGATCCAAGACATATTTGGCTGAAAAATTTAAAATTATAACAAATATGAACAAAAGCAAAAATTATTAATGTGTATCAAATAAAAAGTCAATCTTTTGATGACAATTGCCTCATTCATGGCATGAAGTTTTTCAACAGTTCCAATTGGCGCCGATCCCGATTGCAAGTCGTCGCATACGCTCGACATGAAAGATCTAACATATTCGCTAGGTCCTTCATTTGTGCGTTTGTGGGTCTTGTACCTAAGTAATTAAAAATAAAAAAAATAATGAGACAAAATACATATATGTGTACTAAACAATATATATAACAATGTTTTGAACAATAACCTCTCTTTGAACTCAATAATTTCTAGCACATCAAATTTCGCAATCATTTTGGTTGCATCGAAGGCATTGACAATTCTCATAGACCCTATAAAATTATTCAATAAAATTAAGTTAAAATGTAAAAGAAAAATAGTGTATATCGTATTTTAGTTAATTTAAAAAAATGTACCGTCATGCATGGATTTCGCTCGGCACATTTGAAGTATTATAACTTTTTCCTCTCCTGCAGTGGAGTTCTTCATTGCCTCAAGTAGAACATCCACATAGTCCTCCCATAATGTGCAAAGTAATTGGCAACCGCTAATAAAATAACAAAATAGAAATATTACATAATGATTTTATAATATTTAGAGTGTGAGGATTAATATTAAAAATTGGTAATTTACACTTACCGAACATCTTTGAGGAGAATATCAATAAATCTCTTGACATAGCTTTTTGAACGCTTTGGAAGAACACGACTCGACCAATGATATCTAAAATCAATATAAAAGTACAATTAGAAATAGTTTTTTTTAGAAAACTATTGATAAAAAAATAAAAAAACTGTATTAATGTTGCCAATTAGCCGTGAGGAGTCAATTTGAGATGGATCCGACAGATCTCCAAAGTCCTTGAAATTGAACATGAACTTTGGGTAGTCATCATAAAAAATCTCCTTAATTTCTGTTTCCTCATTGAACAAAAGCTGCTCATTTTTTGTGGTAGTTTTGAAGATGTTGTGATCGGTTTCTAATATGAAATTTCTTATCTCAAATGTGTTCCCTTCACCATTGATCAATGGCTGAAATTTTCAACTAAGATGTCGGCTGCGGAGGCATGGATTCGCTCGCCCTGAAAAATAAAAATAAAAATCATGTATTGGTGTACAAAACAATAAGTAAAATACAGAATGTCAAATAATTAATTGATAACTAAATAATACAATGTCTACCTTGATATTATGAAACACAAATTCGAGGCTCGGCTCTCTTTTTTTGGATAAAACCCTAACCAATCTCAAAATTGCTGTTTTGGTTTTGTTTTTGGCAAGGTGTGTGAGATTATCAAAGTAGGAAGCCATTTTTCAAGATGAATTTCTTGTGACTAAAATTCGAAATGAGGAATAGATAGTTGTGTAAAAGTGATTAGAATCTGAATTTTTTTTTAGTATTTATAGGGCACCAAACGTGTCAATGTCCTTAATTTCAGCAGAAAAATAATTGTGATAGTCAAAATATTTATTTGCATCAAATAAATGATTAATTTGGTCATAAGTTTTATTTAATCAAAAAATTCCTTGGGATACTTAAAATACTATGTATCCTCATATTTTTTGCTGAAAATTATTGTACCTTGGTCAACTTTATTTAATTTTCATCAAATTCATAATTAATTTTTGTATAAATAATAATTAAATACAAAATTCCATGCTTGATTGATATTGATAACAATAATTGCAATTTCCCCAGGAATCTGCTTTTTTTCTAATTATATTGTTTTATATTTTATTTTTTCATATTTTCCTCCTGATTTTTATTAATTGCTTTAATTTTAGAATTATAATGTTTTACTTATATTGCATGATTTTATGTGATTTCATTAATATTTTTTTCTTTTTCTTTATTGCAGGAATTATAAACAATTATGGAGCTGGAATATTCTATTTTTAATTTTATTTACTGCATTTTATATCAGAAAAGATATTGGTAATTTTTTGTAAATCATTTATGTATTTCTTTTTTTTTTTTTTCGTAAAAATCTACATATAACTTCACATAATGTGGCTCAGTCAACAAATATGAATTCAAATTTTAAAAATAATATCTCAACCTAATAAAAGTAGGATTTATATCATTAACCTAATTAATGTAGGAGAATTAATAAAAAAGTAACCGAAAATGGAGGGAAAAGAGGTTAGTGACAGCTAGGTAAAATTAAATAGGTTTTATTAAATGCATTAGCTAGCAATTATATATATATAGATTACACTTTTGTACCTGATATAAGCTTATTTATAGATTTACCAAATCTTGCATAAAATATTGCACTTATACCTAAATGTTGAATTATGAATATGTAACGGTTTCTAATGAATCATCCAAACAAAATGAAGTTGAGTATCACAATTAATTTAGATAATTATTGACTTACCTAAAAAAGGGGAACCACTTTTGCAATCTCTCTCCATCTGGGTTCATTTCTCTCTCTCTCTAAAACCACCTCCGCCCCACGTTTTCCTCACCCAACGAAAAAAATCTCTTCAATGGCAAATGACTAAACTAGTATATTATCAGTATATAAGAGGTATGGTATATGTATATGTGTTTTATAATATTATATGTTGATTATATATTCAGTTACAAAATGTGAACATGTTGCACCCATTAGGATACTTATAGTATATTATCAATATATAATATGACAACGATCCACTATCAAAATAATTTTCTTGACAAGTTATACAACTAGTATATTAACAGTATATTATCAGGTATATTCACGTATATTTGGTCTGTATCAATGCAAGAACTCGTCAAGACATTTTTTTCTCTGGTATATTTTTGGGAATGAAGAACAATGACGACTACATCTGCTTTTTTTTTTTTTTTTTTCCTGTCTGTCTCAATGATCTCGTGTTTTTAAATTCAAATTGGATTCTTTCCATCATCAATCCACAAATCGTGCACAAAAAATAGGGGATAAGGTTAAGAGAGAATTGTAAGTGACATTAGGCATGAATGCAAATAAATCTTATCAATTAGGTATAATATCAATTAAAGTTATATCAAAGGTAATGTTGCAATTACTTAAAAAACGGTAAGTATACATGAAAATTTCCCAATATACATTTGCCTGCTTTCTGAAGTGATGATAATGTTCTAATTGCATCTACAGTCCTACTCGAAGATGGCCATATTTACAACTAGTTCTGATAACAATGGAGTTTGGGAATTCAAAATCCCAAAATGAAAAAGCAAATTATAACATAGTAATATTACATAATTCTCACTTTCTGCACTTGTAGCTTTCAGAGAAGTCCCAAAGTACTCTTCAGAAAAAATAAGGTGAATGGAACTAGTCAATTTTTTTCGCAGACTTTTGGTTTCTCAAGGCGCCGGTGAGACTCCTAACTTTATGAATCTTAAAGTCGTTTCGTCGCATTAGGCAGCAAACTTTCGCAGCAGGTAGCTATAGCTCAAGTGGAGCAAAGAACTCGAATGAGCACAAATAGTTAAAACCATCATCACATTCATTAAATTTAGTGAATTCTACATCAATTCCGAAAAGCAAGCAAGGGCAACGAACTTTTTGCACAATGAATTTGTTAAGAGCTCAAGAATATGAGAAAACTTTAAGGAACTTACACTGGGAATCCACAGAATCATGGTCATGTTTCACCGGATTGGGCGAGCATCAAGTCACACGTGGACAGAGTTCCAGATTGATCGACATCAAGGTTTTCAAACTCCTCCAGCAAAGGCGCGATATCATCTTGGCTGATCTTCCCCATTTCTTTTAGTTTAAATATGATGAATTCAGCGGCCCTATTATTATTATAACAAGGCAACAAAATCAACAACCATATATTTTAACTACACTATAGCAACTTGGCTTTATAGTCATTCATAAAATAAGTTGAAATAAAGAGCTTGATTAGAAGGAAAAAATGACGAAATTGTTAGAAGGCACAGTTACAAAATACACATTCGGTTTAGCCTAAATTACACATGTCTATATGCAGAATTAGAAATATCCTTTTTTATGTTTGTATATAGTCAACAAATACACCCCTCAAAATGCAAAATTTATGAAATGAAACAAACATCAAGAGAATATTAATACCTTCAGAACATAAAGTTGCCTTTGATATCTTTATAATAAGCCTAAACCAAAAGGATGATTAGTAATTTGTGTCAAACAAACAAAAAATACACACCCAACATTTCCATCAGCATCGACATCGGCTGACTCGAGATCCACGTTTGTCATTTTCTTGGTAAGAACATATCTCACCACCTCCTTCTGCCTGCTCTCTGTATTGAGCTCCGCCACATAGCCCAGAAGCTGCGCCAAGCAAATTGTGCTTGTCAAAATCCAAAAGATTGCGAAAACCCGCCCAGCCTTGGTCGAGAAGCTCTTGTCCCCATAACCCAGAGTCGTGACCGTTGAGCAAACGCAATAGAAAGCATCCACGAAATCCAATTTCTCGACCGTAGATAAGAAAACCGTCCCGGCCACAAAAAGCACCACAAGAATGCCCCCCATCATGAAACACTTGTACCGGGCTTTGTTAGTTTCCAGTTCGGACATGATATCGCTCGGGCCGAGCCTCTGGCGCATGTGCAGGGCCCGAACGACAAGTATCTCCTGCTTCTCAACAAGGTAGTCGGCTCCCTTGCTCAGGGTGAGTCCGATTAACGCCATACCTGAAAAGACAAAAGCACAAGCCAGAAGCTTTGCGGATGAGCTGTTCGGGACGAGATCCCCATATCCAACAGTCGTCATGGTCACTATGCAAAAGTAAACCGAGTCAAGAACGCCGTCGATTTTTTCCCCTTTGATCTGGTCCTTGACGAAATAGAAACAAATGGTGCCGGCCGCCAGGTAGACAATGAGGTAAACGGCTACTCTTTTGAAGCTGGGGTGTAGGTGGTCCAAGAAGGAACTCCCACGAGGGGGTGCGTGTGGCCCGTCGATTTCTCCCGGGAGGAACTCGGAGAGAGGGGCGCTTCTGCAGCGGCGGAACCTTCTCCTTTTAGGACCGGGTTTCGTGTTCGTTTGGGTTGAGGGATTCAATAGGCCGGCTGTTAAGGACTTTTCACCTTCACCGGCCATTGCAGCTACAACCTCTTCAATTTCCAAATGTCGGACATAAAAATTATCAGTCATGGCGAACAGGATATATTTTAAGCAATCACAAAAAGAAAATGAGCTCAACACAAACTGTAATCGGCCATCACCGACAAGCAGATCAAAATTCAAGCAGTAAAATACTTTCATTCAAAACATAGGGCATGAAAGT